TGGTCCCATATTTTGTTGTGGATTTTTGTGGATCATTATTCTTTTTGAAATTTAATTTTTCCGAAATTGTGTCTAAAAGAGATAGAATCAGTTATAAGCAGTTAGCAGCTAGTCTACACGCATACGTCTAGTCGCACGCACACAAACACCGTGCCGAAGTCTGCCGAACTGAAACGACGTTAGACGATGCACGGCTTTCAACGCCGCACCGCAGTGCCGGTCGAAGTGGAGTGTTTTAGGTTTATTTTCGTTACGGAATTTCTTTTTTGATTTTTGAATTTTTGGATTTTTGGATATTTGGATATTTGGATTTTTGGATTTTTAGATTTTTGAATTTTTGGATTTTTGGATTTTTGGATTTTTGGATTTTTGGATTTTTCGATTTTTCGATTTTTCGAATTTTCAATTTTTCGATTTTTCGATTTTTCGATTTTTCGATTTTTCGATTTTTCGATTTTTCGATTTTTCGATTTTTCAATTTTTCGATTTTTCGATTTTTTGATTTTTCGATTTTTCGATTTTTCGATTTTTCGATTTTTCGATTTTTCCATTTTTCGATTTTTCGATTTTTCGATTTTTCGATTTTTCGATTTTTCGATTTTTCGATTTTTCGATTTTTCGATTTTTCGATTTTTCGATTTTTCGATTTTTCGATTTTTCGATTTTTCGATTTTTCGATTTTTCGATTTTTCGATTTTTCGATTTTTCGATTTTTCGATTTTTCGATTTTTCGATTTATCGATTTTTCGATTTTTCGATTTTTCGATTTTTCGATTTTTCGATTTTTCGATTTTTCGATTTTTCGATTTCTCGATTTTTCGATTTTTCGATTTTTCGATTTTTCGATTTTTCGATTTTTCGATTTTTCGATTTTTCGATTTTTCGATTTTTCGATTTTTCGATTTTTCGATTTTTCGATTTTTCGATTTTTCGATTTTTCGATTTTTCGATTTTTCGATTTTTCGATTTTTCGATTTTTCGATTTTTCGATTTTTCGATTTTTCGATTTTTCGATTTTCTTTTATTGAATAAATGAGAAGTTAATATTGTTTAACGCCGCACCGCTGTGCCGGTCGGAGTGGGGGGTGTTTTCCTTACGGTGTTACGGAATTTCTTGATTTGGTCGCCGCGCTCAAAGCGAAAAAAGCTATGCAATAGCTTAAAAATTTGAGATTAGAATCGATCGAAATATACATTTTTTTCGAACCGAATGTCATTACGGCAGATTTTTCAGAATTTAATATTGTGTCGTCAACTATTTTATTATTACATATTATACGAAATGGTTACCCTTTTTAATCATTTCTTCCGTAGTCACCGTGATTGGAGGTCCTCACACTTGAATTCACTGCTAAGCGATTCGCTACGTCATATACCTACTACAATACAATATTGATACCTTTTTTCTGCAAATATTTTATTACTTTTCTTTGCTCGACTAGTTCCATTTTTAGGGAAATACACGACGTATCATTACCTAATCAACAAAATATTATTTTGACCAGATACACAATCATAATCTATTATCGTCAATGTATCCAACTGTCAAATTTTTTTGGTAAAAATGCAATTTATAGTCAATTTGCGCTTTACTAAAATTTTTAAATAATGTGGAAGTATATTTGGAAGCTTAAAAAAATCTTGGCGGCACTTATTTTATTGAATGTATTTACTTAAAATTTTCACTTGTGTTCTTTGCTATTTGCTAATGTAGGTGACGTAGTTTATCTGAGAGTTTACTAAGATTTTTCAATTGATTATAGTGACATGATATACTGAAAAATGACAGTAGATAGAAAATATTTTTTTCTACACCCACATGGATATCGACTTATCTAGGTACAGACTACAAAACGGAAAAGTATGTTATTGCGTTTATCTGAACGAATATATTTCATATCCATTCTAGATAATGAGAACACTGCAAAAAATAGTAGTTTGTGCAACAAGAGTGGATATGATGGCAATATCGCACGATGACGAAATTTGAGCACAACGCCGTAGGCGGATTACTCAATCGTCTGAAAGCGATATAGACAATCCACTCGAGTTGTACAGTATATTTTTTCTATGACCCACTAACAAAAATATTCCAATGTTAAAATTATATTAGGTTATTAAAGTAAAATAATTAATTTAAAAATAATTTATGACTTCTACTAATTTATAAAATAAAATAAACAAGAAAAAAAAGAAAAAATATTTTATTTCATTTTTCTCCATCTGAGATTCGCACTCGAGTCATCCATATAGAAGGCGAGAACGCTGACCATAGGACCAGCTACGCATTAATTTATTTGATTTAATACTCGTAATTAAATTGACATCTTTTTTATTCAAATTAACAAATTATTTTTAATTATAGACGAAATAAAAATAAAAATTCTATTATTTATCGATTCTACACAAGAATAACTCATTTTAATATAGGTTTAATCTCAATAACTAAAAAAATATACTGACAATTAGTTTGACAGAATTGTCACTCATTTAAAATCCTAAAAATAATAGCAGTCGGTTGATCAAAATATGAACTGTGATTGGTGGATTTAATTTTTTTGCACTACCTAGAATGAATATGAAAATATTAGTTCAGTTGAAAGCAATAGCATACTTTTTTCGTTTTGTAATCTGTGCGTAGATAAGCTAATATCCATCTGGGTGTAGAAAAAATTTAATTCAACAATTACAGTTCACATTTTGGACTTTCAACTATTATTTTTAAAATTTTAAATAAGTGACAATTCTATGAAACTAATTGTCAGTTTATTTTTTAGTTATTGAGATTAAATATACATTAAATAAAATGAGTTATTTTTGTTTAAAGTCGATAAATAATAGCTTTTGTATTTTTAGTTGGTCTATAATTAAATAATTCGTTAATTATATGAAGTGAATTTAATTAAGAATATTAAAGGGAAAAAAATTTAACTCCTCGATGGTGGTGAGGTCAGAGTACTTTCCTTTTTTCGAAAGGTCCGAATTCAAGTCTAGGTTGGGACAAATTAAATTAAATCTGTTTTTTGCCTATTTTATTTTTTAAATTAGTGAAAGTCATAGTATATTATGCAACGAGCACGAAATGAAGCATATTTTGCACGAATATGAAAGTTTGAAACACGAGCCGTAGACGAGTGTTGCAAATCATACAAGTGCAAAATAGCTATTTCGTGCGAGTTGCATACTATACTTTTTCTACGATTGCTTTCTATTACATAAACAAACACAAATCGAATAAAAGATTTATTTTATTAACTGGAATAGATTACGCTGCAAATAACAAATTGTGGATAAATAAACTCGATTGAAACTGAAAAACTGGTCAAGCCATACCCCAACCTATTTATAAAAATTAAACGTACAATTATTAAAAACCATTTTTGGGGAGGTAGTAGTGATATTATGTTCAATATTTACATTTTCTTGAATTTGACAATTTTCTGCAGTTGTGGTAGATGTGTTTCCCGTTTCTGAAGATATATTTTTTATCTTATTAGAAATTATGTTGGCTATATTAATCTTATTTGTTAAGGATTCATCTATATAGCATTCAGCAACAGCTGTAGACTTCCAGTCGCCATGACGCTTTAACGTGGTTATGTCACCACCAGCATCAACTAAAATTGTTGCCGAAGAACGGCGGAAGTAATGACCTGTATATAACTCAGAATTTGGCAATTTCAAATACTTGGCAATATCTTTTCCCATTGCCCCAATTTTATTTAACCCTATTCTTTGAACGGTGCATTTACCTTTTTGGTAATTTATAAAAAACCAGGGATCATTAACATGAGGACGGCGAAGGTCGGCATATTTTTTAAAAATTTTATAATATTGACCAATTATAGTGAACTTTCGAACAATTTTGGTTTTAGTGTCTGGTACTGTCACCAAAACTGCTTCATTCAAATCATTAAAATTTGAAATTTTCATCTGATGTAATTCATGTCGTCTGCATACACCCATAATTAACGCAACCTACAATAAAAATTCACAAATTGAAAATACTTTGCATTACACAAATATAAAAAATAACTTATTTTAAATATAAATAACCTACTTTTGTTACTAAATATATCTCATCGGGAGCTTCTTTTATAAATTTTTCGATTTCATTTGACGTAAAAGTCTTCGACTTTTTCGGTTTGTATCCGTCTGACTGCCGCTTGAGAAATGCTTTCAATTTCAAATATTTGCTAATATCTATATTATTATTAATGCTGATAGTCGTTCTTAACATCGAATATTGTGTCCAAAGCGTAGAACTTTTCATTTTTTTCACCAATTAGGCAAAATAAGCCACTAAAACGTTCTCTGAAAATGAGTTTGAATTTTCACCTTTTTTCCAATTCATGAAGAGGGCATAAGATCGATGATATAATTTTTTTGATGTTCGTGGCAACAAATTTAAAGTTGTTACCTTTGCAGCTTCCTTTATGTTTGGAGGTGTTAATTCTATATCACTATCACTGTTTATTTTATTAATTTATTTCATAAAAAAAGATAATTATCGTAAGTTCTGTCAATATTAATTATACTGACAGTAACGTCAAAATGATATTATAGCCGCCTTAGTTTTTGATCTACTAAATTAAAATTTCATTTCGCACGCGTTGCTGGGCAACCCGCGCAATATGAAATGTTGTGTAAAATGTGTATAAGTTCCAATAGTCGAATCAAAATGATGATTTATCATTGCAGCCGCAGAAAAAATTATTTTTAAATTAGTTGTTTTATCTTAATAACCTAAAATATTTTTAATATTTGTAGATTTTCGTTATTAGGTCGTAGAAAAAAATCTACAGTACAACTCGAGTGGATTGTCAATATCGACTCGTGTTGCAAACAGTACCAGTTTTTTTAATTTAAATGTTGGTTCACTATAAACTGCATTTCTTCCAAATTTTTATCTGACTGACTACTGTAAATATGTCAGGAGTGAAGAAGCATGGGGATCAATACACGTACATATACCTAAGTACCATTTAAAATTAACTTACATTTTCAGTGTTAAGTTCTGTATAAGATAAACGCAAAATATCAGACACACAGCTGCTATGAGGTAATACTTAAATAAGGCATCGGGTATCTTCAAATATTTTAATTCCGTTTTTATGTCATTGAAAAGCAGTAAACAGTTTATTTCCTTTAATTTCATGTACTGCCTGAAACAAAACAAAAATAAAAGGATTATATATACAGGATATTAAAAAAGGGTGTAAAATAAGGTAACAGAATGGACCAAAATAAAAAAAATAACTTTTAATAAGCATGGGTTCACAAAGTAACGGTTTTGAAGGTGTGGAAGATTATTCTGTGTTTGCCCACTTTCTTTCTTATTTTTAAAAAACTTTCATTTCCTTATCAAAATTGGCTGATGTGAAATAAACATTTAATTGTTGACTGCTGTTGTCAGTTCACAAGTTTTCTTTTGCTATGGTTATTTTTCTCTAACGCAGAATTAACCGAATTCACCAAATATTGCGTGATACAGGTTCATTGAGCAACCATTGCTATTTATCCAAAACACCAAGCTAATAATGGAATTAGTGCTCTTCTTGTTAGAAGAATCCTCTACGAGCAGCTGCTTTATCCGTGCCATGTAGAATAAGACGCCTTAAATCCACTTGAAAATCAAGCACGTTTGTTTTTTTTGTCGCTGGTTTCTACGCAATGATGCTTGCCAATATTCTTTTTACTGATGAGGCCTGGTTATTAATTTTCACAATACGCATGTTTGGGCCGACGAAAATCCCCTTACTCTAATGGCATGTAAACATCAGACACGTTTTTTATTGAAAATTTGGATGGGTATTGTAGGCGACAGGTTTCTAGGTTCTGTTGTTTTACCAAACCGATTAACAGGAGCTGCTTTTCTAAATTTTTTGCAGAATATAATACGTGATGATACTTAAACTTATTTTTTGATTATTGTTAGAGAGCATTTGCAATATAATTTTCCACGTAGATTGACAGGAAGGGAGGGAAGGACTTGTATTACGGCCTACAAGGTCGCCTAATTTATATCCTCTAAATTTCTTTTCAGGGTATTGTGATGTTTGTTTATTTTCAAACAACAGGTTATTTATTAATAATTTATTTAAACAATACTATATTAATTTATATATACTTCGAATGTCTTTAAACTGATCACTATTTATATTCACCACTGTCTTTCTACTAAGTACTATTTATCTTAACTGTCCATATATCAACTGATTGCACCGAGTTCTTCCGCCAATTTATATACAAATTTAAAAAAATGGTGGGGGCTCCAGAACGTTCTAGTAATTTTCACATATTCTCTCCAATACACTAGAAACATTATCTCGTCCACCATAGTCGTCCCATAGGTTTGGTCTTAAGGGGTTCAATTATGTATAATAAGCGGACAAGTTGAGCCTCAAAGGCCAAATAATACAGAGAGGGACTTGGAGTATTAGAGCATGACTGAATAATGAAATGGCTCACATTACATTGCCCCCTCCTTAAGAGATAGTTCCTCCTGGAACTATTACGAAACTAAAATGGAATGGTTGTATCTGCAACTGAACCCTCTTTTACGATTTCCAGTTGCATGGAAGTAACAAGGGACTGTCTGCGCTATAACCTGGGCACTGGGCGAATGGCTGCAGACCAGTATTTGAACTCCGGTATCATGAAAGATTACTTCCACCATGTTCCTAATGATCCTCCAATCCAGCTGATTTCCTTCTATCTTCGGCATGGCTAGTTTCTGTACATTGGACTCCAGTATATGCTCCCTTAGACTAAGTAATGCTTCCCATACATCCTGATAGGTGGATCGATCTCGGAAGGTGTTCTTCGTTATTAAATAGAAAAGATAACGTGACCCGTCTTGAAGTTTCAAGGCTTTTCCAGGGGCTGGTAACTGACATTGAAGTTCCACCAGTCAACCGAACTTCTTACGGAACACATATGCCAGTCCTCGCGCATCGTTGATGCTGGCGGAAGTACTATGGACCAGCGAGTAGTTTTTCGGAAGCGAGAGCAGATCTTGTTGTTGCTCGGTCGTAACACCATATCTGGCATTTCCAGTACCTCCATATACACCAGAGCTGGGACGAATCCTCGAAAAATGGATTCGAATCACGAATCCGAATCATGAGATGTGATTCGAATCACGGATCCAATGTTCGAATCCTTTTAAAAAAAAAAAAGGATTCGAATCAAGTGATTCGAATCCTTTTTTCAGATCACGGATACGAATCACTGTCAGTGTTATACTGTGGTATTAATTCTTAAGTATGGCGTGCCATTTGTGTGACCTTTTAGAGGTGTACTCGAAGGTACTCCTACATACAGTGTGTTTCAAAAAGTTTTATACAAATGGGAAAAATATATTTTTACATTTTACAAAGAAAATATTCCTGATATAAATTTCTGCATCACTTGGAAATACATAATAAAAATAAAATTGTAAAATTAAAAAAATTCTAATACACATTTTAGCATTTTAGCGATGCAGAATTTTTATCAAGAATTTTTTTTGTAAAAAGTAAAATAAATCTTTCCCATTTCTATAAAAAATTTTTGAGACACCGTGTGTCAATGGCGTAACTTTATTTTTTTGGCCCTCATTATAAATAATAAAAAAAATAGTTAACTTGACATTAAGTAATGAATTAATTGTAATTGATAGAAAACATAGAATGGATATAATTATATATTATATTCGTTCAATAGACTAATATCGCCTACATATTTATTTTGTATATCGTGCAAAAATTAGAAAAATAAATAACATACCTACATGTGGATGTGGATGCAGATTTTTTTTACTTAACTGTATTGAGCATCTATATCAAATTATTTGTTAATTCTGTAATCGTGCACAACGCCAAATACATCGGTTTTCTATTCAGTCTCAGTCTGTTTTAGTTTTTAGTTTACAATTCGTGACAAGTCAAAGCTTGAGTCGGCCGTTCGCGCCGGCGTAATTTGGTCTCTAAAAGGATCCGAGACTGATATTGATGATTCGAATACGAATCCTTTAGGATTTTCTTTGCAAATCCGGATCACGGATCCTTTTTTTCTAAAGTATTCGAATCCCGCTTTCGGATCCCCAAAAAGGATTCGAATCCTGGATTCAAATCCTATGTGATTGGAATCCTCCACAGCTCTGATATGCACCCATAAATTCTTCAAAGACAAGTCTGGTGTTTCTTGAAATTGGTTTACTTCTTCTTCATGGTCACCCTCAAATGGCGCCAGCCTGTTTTGGTGCACTACCTTTGGTTTACCGTTTGTAATCTTACTTATACGGTAAATTACATCATTTATTTTATTCTTGATGAGGTACAGACCTTCCCAAGACCTTTGAAGCTTCGGAGAATAACCCTTTTGTCTTTTTTGGGTAATGGAGCCAGACTTTGTCGCCTTCTTTGAAACATCCTTCTGTTGCTTGGGTATCGTATCGCTTCTTCATTCTGTCGCTGGCGATTTGAATATGGTAGCGAACTGATTCATGCATGTCGTCCATTCTTCTTCGTAACTGGATCACATAATCTTCACCAGCTACATCTTCACCAGGTCGGCATCCAAACTCAAGGTCGCACGGTAGTCTCATCTCACGCCCAAACAAGACCTTTGCTGGTGTTTGGCCTGTTGATTCATTGACAGCGTATCTATAAGCCATTGCAAAGAGCAAAAAATACTGATCCCAATCTCGCTGATGGTTTGAAACCACTTTTGACAGATATTTGCCAATAGTCTTATTCATTCGCTCTACCATTCCATCGGATTGTGGGTGCAATGCTGTGGTTCTGGTCTTCTTCATGCCTAGTCTGTCACAGATTCCACGGAAAATTTGACTTTCAAAATTTCTGCCTTGGTCACTGTGGATCTCCAAGGGCACTCCAAATCGACATATAAACTCTTTTATCAATACATCTGCAACAGTTGCGGCCTCTTGATTTGGAATAGCATAGACTTCCACCCACTTTGTAAAATAATCCATAACCACCAAAATTACCATTCTCGGTCGCGGGGAATGGTCCAGCAATATCTGGGCTGTATTGCTTCATGGGAGCCTTCCTTTTTCGTTGAGGTCCATTACCCATAGCACAGGTGGTACATTTCTTACACCAGTCCTTTACATCATCGGAACTGTTCATCCAGTAACACCTTTCCCGAACTCTCTGAAGGGTTTCCCTAACACCAAAATGCCCTCCTGATGGACTGTCGTGTAACTGACGGAGTACTTCAGCTACTCTACTTCTTGGAATGACCAACTGTCTTCTGTTCTCGGAACCATCATCATATTCAAGGACTCGCTTTAATACGCCATCTTCCAGGATAAAGGAGTTCCACTAAGCCAAATACGACTTAAGTACTGGAGAGAGATTAGATACTTCTTGCCAAGTAGGTCGACGATTTTCCTCTTTCCATTCTCGTATCTTCTTTAAGACGGGATAATTCTCTTGTTCTTCCTTAATTTTGACAGGGGCCCACTCATCGCTGACTACCGACGTTCTTCGTACTGTGACTTCTTTAACAGATGTGGCCAACGCCTTTCCAATCAGAGTTCCTTGAGCAACACCTTTATTGCGCTTTGAAGGTTCCGCCATGACAGGCGTTGCCTTCTCTACAGTTCCTTGAAACCGCCTTACTCGTATGGTTTCACTACTTTCAGGTAACACGGTTTCTTCCTGTACAGCCACCGGCATGGTTTTTCGATTCGTAGTGTTCTTTGGACGTTTGCGCGAACTGCTTACTTTTCCCATTTTACCGCAATTCCAGCACCTAATAGTCTTCGGTTGCTTCTCAATAAGGCTTTTTATCATGTGAAACAATTGGTCCAATTTATTTCCCTGTTCTTCTTTTTTTACAGTCCTTACTTCACTGTATCCACCAGAAGCCAGCGTAGCCGCTTCATATTCAAGAGCAGCGGACAAAACATCGACCAATGTTTTGTGACGGGCTAAACGAAGTGTTCTTTGCATTTCATGGTCACGAAGTCCATCTACAAATGCTTGAACAGCCAAACATTCCATCATGTTTTCTGGAGCTGACGGATAGGCAAATCGCACCATCTTCGCAATATCTAATTTAAATTCTTGAAGGCTCTCGTCACGTTTCTGTTTGCGATTTTTCAACTGTAATCTGTATACCTGCTCCAAGTGTTCGTGGCCATATCGCATATTTATTCTCTTTTTGAGTAGCTCAAAATTATCTGTCTCTTCCACGGGTATAGTCTGAAGTCCATCCAAAGCGTCTCCTCGAAGGGCGATGGTCAAATTTAAAGGCCTTCTCTCGTTCAGACCACTCGTTTGCTCTGGCAGCTGTTTCGAACTGCTTAAGGTAGTTCGTCCAAGACATCTTCCCGTTAAAAGTTGGGGCTTTAACACGAGGATAGTTTACAGCTCCTTCCAATTTCAACTTCGACTCCACCTCATGGCACTTAATTTCAACGTCCTTGACCGGGTCTGAATGTTCCAATTCTTCTATCTTCTTTTCCATTTCTTTTATGTTTTCCTCGACGGAAGTCATCTTATTTTCCACATCAGCAGAAATTTCATTTTTTAAAGAAGACATTTCGGAAGACACCTTTTCTTCTAAAGAAGAAATATTAGACGAAAATTTATTTTCCATAGAAGTCATTTTGTTTTCCAAGTCGAATGAAATCCTTTTCTTCTAGGGAAGAAATATCGGATGAAACTTTACTTTCTAAGGAAGTAATGTCTGAAGAAACTTTAGTTTCTAATGAGGAAATGTCATTTTTTATGGAGGAAACATCAGAAGAAATATCGATTTTTATAGTTGATATTTGAGTTTCTAACGAAGAAATTATAGAAGATGCATCATCCGAAAAAAGGTACGTTTCCGGATCCAAACCTTCATTTATTAATTCTTCTTTAATCCGCTCTGCCAGTTCTGCTTTCTTCCCTGTCGTCTCCAACTCACGATCTTCTAACTCCCGACGTAGCTCGGTCACTTTTAAATCACTAGTCTTTTAGCCATTATTGTCCACTATTTATTTACACTATCTCACTTCTCGACACCAATGTGATGTTTGTTTATTTTCAAACAACAGTTTATTTATTAGTAATTTATTTAAACACTTATTTATTTTAAACAATACTATATTAATTTATATATACTTCGAATGTCTTTAAACTGATGACTATTTATATTCACCACTGTCTTTCTACTAATTACTATTTATCTTAACTGTCCATATATCAACTGATTGCACCGAGTTCTTCCGCCAATTTATATACAAATTTAAAAAAATGGTGGGGGCTCCAGAACGTTCTAGTAATTTTCACATATTCTCTCTAATACACTAGAAACATTATCTCGTCCTTTCTCGAACTTCATCGAAAACACGTCCACCATAGTCATCCCATAGGTTTGGTCTTAAGGGGTTCAATTATGTATAATAAGCGGACAAGTTGAGCCTCAAAGGCCAAATAATACAGAGAGGGACTTGAAGTATTAGAGCATGACTGAATAATGAAATGGCTCACATTACAGTATATTTAAAAGCTTAAGTCTGTAGTTCTCATCTAAATAGCCTCGAGGATCTGCAGCTACGAATTAATAATAAATGCCAACCAATACAAGACAATAAGGGGCTTTTAAGAACAGTTAGAATATTCTTCAGAACAAGATGTCGAGTATACAAGAAAATGGAAAGACGGCACTATGAACATCATCATATATTAATTTTGTTTTTTTGTTTTTGTTAGAAGCTTTTTTTATTTGTTTGTACCTAATAAATAAGTAACAAAAATTACAATTAAGGGTTTCAAAAAAGAATAATCTACCATATCTCCGAAGCAGTTACTTATTGGACCCATATTTAATTAAGTTATTTTATTTATTTTGGTCCATACTGTTTTCTCTTTAAATATTTTACACTCATTTTTAATCACAGAAAGTCGAAAAATCAAAAGAGTACTTACTGATATTTAGAAAAAGAAATATTCTGTATAGTCTCTTCCATCTTCTGGTTAACTTTCTCAGCCCTTTCGGTATACCTTTTAATATTGTTGTTCATAAAAGCGGTTCTTCTCTTCAAAGTGCTGGTACTCCTCCTGGTCTCGCTAGATCTATAGTACGCATTGGCATTCCTCTTTCTATACATTCTGTCATCGCTATGTCTTAACCTATTCGCGTCTTCTATAAACGTTAATGTTTTATTGCTAGATTCTTCTTCGACCAATGATGGTACTCGTTGGAGTTGGGCCAAGAGAGAGAGACCGTTTGGATACGATTTTTGCTTTTTGAAAATGGACGGTCTAGGTGTTGGACTAGCCGGAGCGCTTTCTGTGTGGTTCGGATCGAGTTTTTCTATCTAAAAATTTGCATTTATTTAAAATGTTGGACGACCTCTATCAAACACTTGGGTGGAACGTCTACGAAACTTCTGAAAACTTCCAGTTGTTTTCCGTACAAATATAAAATCAAAATTAATTAATGCTATCCGACTATCCAATTAAGTGGTTATGGAAAACCCAGGAAAACAAACCTCAGTTCTCGGTACTTCCTAATAAAAAAAAGAAGAAGTAAAGATAGTGTTTGATTTCTACCTTGAATAACGATGCTAGTGGCGTCGGTACCAAAAACAGTAAAAACTCTCGCTAACTAATGTTAGGCACTAAATCGAGCAGCAACAACGGGACGGCAGAGAAAGAGTCAACGGCAAGAACAGCAGCAAAAAAAGAAAGCTCCTTAGGGCTCTCGGATTTACACCTAACGATCGGACTGGTTAAGATTACGAGTAGTTTGGAGTGGGAGATACCACCTCCAGTTTTAATGTTTACCTGTGCCCAGATAATTTACATGAATTTGAACGTTTAAATGTTTATTCAAATTTCAGTAAATAATGATATATTTTAAACTACGAGGACTCTCGCAAATTTTTAAAAACGGGAATTCTTAGGAAATAAAAACGTTATCAGGCGAAAATTACTTGAAATAACCTAATAATTAATTAAAAATAAAATTTAGTGACAACACTTACTGGTTTAACTAAAAATGTTTGATAACCATTTGCCTTAAATTGAGGAACTGTATCTCCTTTATTTGTTGCTTCTATTGTGTAAGGTTTTTGAAGTAAAGCTTTTGTTATGTTAGTTATATGAACCATACTGAAAATAAAATTTAAATAAGTCAAAATAATTTTAAATCGATTTTTAACTGACCCCGGTTCTCCTTCACTCTCCATCTTGTTGGCAATATCAACATCTTTTGACCAAATGTCGAACTGATATTTGACGAATCCAATAATACCACTTATTATTCTTCCACTGTGTACGCCGATCCGCATATTTACATTTAAATTTCTTTTTTTTCTAAAATAGATATCAAATGATTATCTTTTACAATGAATATAGAAACTGTCAAGTAATAGGACATAGCAGAAGTGAGTTTTTTATGGCCAGTTTGATTTTTTGATTTGACAAGGGGGGTAGCCATGTGTGAGTTGAGGTAATTTTAAGATGAAGGGGGAGAAAAAGTCCTTTATATCTCACAAGGATTTTTTGAGTTGATTTTAATTAATGTGTGTTTTGTGTAGGTTTGGTTATCGTTACTGTTTTCCTGCGCCACTTCAGAAACAGCGGTGTTAACTAAAAACCTACAGTGGTAAATGGGAATGACTGAAGTGATGAATCTTAACTATGCATCAGAATTATTTTTAAATATATTAATTAAATAAAAAATCCTGGTCAACGGTGGGATTCGAACTACGGACCCTTGGACACAGCTTATTTATTGGATTCGCAAGTCCAGACTCGATCCCCTTAGTAGAGGATATAAAAACAAAAACGATATCAAAGTATAGAGAATAGAAATAGTAGTGCCACTCTCAAGCAGTACCTTTACCTTTTATCTGTATGGGTCATACTTATATCTTCATAGTCATACTTTTCTACAATGAGAAAGTCACAAAGCACCTATTCTTTAGAGACCCTACACCAATGTTAGACTTTTAAATCAAATTAGCGCTATCTTGTGTTTGGAGTAGAAACTTAAATGATAATTGACAAATGGCGGTAAATTCAAATTAAAATTTTTGGTAATTTGTAATAAAGTCAATTTTCATTACTATATTTCGGACTATTCCGGATATAAATTTTAATTTTTATTTTATTTTAACTTCATGGGTAGACCCTGTATATCAAATTTTGTTTCATTTAAATTCGCGTATTATACATTACATGAGTAACGATAGCGCGCGCGATCCGCGCACACCGAGTGGGGGCCAGCCTGCTTGGGTATAGAGACTGGGATTCAGCATTGAGTATTAAAATCATTTATTCAAAACCATTCGACTAGCTTGATTTCATTTTTCTGACCTCGTTAAGTCTGCTTCGTTATACGCCGTAAAATCATTGCCGAGACCGTAGTTAGGTACACCGAATTCATGTTTACGTTTTTTTTTTCTGTCGTCGGTTCTTGAGCTAAACGTTCGAATACCAGTTTTATTTGATTAAATTATTCCGTTTTCGATTTTTTTTTAATAGAAATAATAATTGACTTTAGATTTTCGTTAAAAATATTTTGATTTTCAGATAAATTATTTAGTTTTGATTTTATTTAGAAACATTGGAAATTAGTTTTGGTTATTAGGAAGTAGAAATTTTGTTTCTATTTTATTAATTACTTAATTTTTATTGCGACCGTGGATTGTGTTTCTATTTTAGAGTAATAGTAAACCTAAATTTAAATTAAATTCCGTATACAGTTAATTACTTAATTTTCATTGCGACCGTGGATGTTGTTTCTATTTTTAAGTAATAATAAATTTAAATTTAAATTAAATTTCGTATATAGTTAATTACTTAACTTTTACTACGACCATAAATTTTCTTTCTATTTATTCACAATCTGGTTTAACTTTTTTTTTACATTTATGTTTCTTTACTTGGGAATAGAATTAGTTGGAAAGTTGAAATAGTATCATTTTTCATGTTGAGTGGACTGGTTTTGGTGAGAAAGCTCACATGGGATTAGATACTATCCCGGTATTAGATTTTTTTTAGATTAACCCCTAGCCGTGATTAACATATTAATGTTTTTCTAATGTTTGAGAGGGCTGGTTTTGGCGAGAACACTCATCATAGGATAAATACTAACCCGGTTTTTGATTATTTTTTTTAGTTACCTCCGCCCCGTGATTAAAATGATAGTATCATTTTTATGTTGAGCGGGCTGGTTTTGTCGAGTACACTCCTCATAGGATTGATACTATCCCGTTTTCTTACCACATTTCTCTATTCCCTATTCACTAACACAAGGAGGTTTGTTTCAGTTTCAATACCGACTAGATAGTTAACCAGATAACTTTTTCTACGACCGTGATTTTATTTCTGCTTTTACGAAACAAAATATTTAACTTCAATATTTTTGCCGATTTAACAGTTAACTAGCTAACTTTTGCTACGACCGCAATTATTTGCCATTTTCCTTCTTTAACTGAAATAGTAATTTTGTTTTTGGTTTCGTTTTGGCTCAACCACCGAACCGACAATTTATTAATTAGTTACTATTGCCACCGAGCATCTTTCTTTTAATTTTAATTATACCGTCTGATTGAGACTAATCAAAGTTCACTACTGGCCAATCTGTTTGTTTTTCTTTTTGTTCAGGGTTTTAAAAATACGAGCAAGGGTGGGCGTTGAAATATTACTTACAAATTATTTATTGTAAATAGTTAAAATTCAATATATGTGTCAACGTTACCTTGACTATTACTGAGGTTACTGATCCCTAATTTACTTCCCCCTTTATTTCAGCAGTGAGTAATTCTTTATCACCACAAGTCACGATTAAAGCCCGTTACTTGTGGTTACTTATTACCTGTGTCTGAGTGACCAACGACCCCTGGAATTTTTCATCTCCATCTGTGCTGCCCGAGTACTTTCGACGCCGTTTCGAAAGTTTGTGGAGTAAACCACACATAAAATCTGGCGCCCGAGAGCCGTCCCGTCAACACGCGTCATTTGTAAGTAATCGTTTTCTCTGAGGTGAGAAAACCCCTTACAAATTAATAGGTAGTAGTTATAAATTAAATTTTAAATCAATTCCACATAAATTATTTTATAAAATAAAGTATGAAACTATTAAGTTCGAAACTTTTATTTTACAAAACAATTCAGTTTGATAGTGCCACTTTTTGCACTCAGATGAGGGACTATATGCATTTAACGAATACTTACTTGAAGCAAAGGTATACAATCTCTAATTTTTAAAATATCACTATATTTAAATATGAAGTAAACACAAGGATATTACATTTTAATAACACTAAAGTAATATATTGTTAAGCAGGTTTTAGGTAACTCAATTTATTTCAACTCAGCTGATACAATAATTTAGCTAATAACATTAAAGTATATCGTCTATCATAAAACTGGCTCTTGTCGTCAGGATTACCGACTTAGAAAACTCGCTTTAACCTTCTAGAACCTTCCCGAAATGTCCTGATTAGATATATTCTCTGCTATTGTCCTGATGACACATACTTTGATAGGCACATACTAGTAACAAAGCCTGCACATACCTTACAAAGCCGAAAAGCTCTAACAGCTGAGGCTTCAAAAAGGCACTGGTACAGCACATCGCTTGGGAAGTCGTAAATTCATCCTGACCAAATGGCAGGGAATCAACTAAGTTCTCATGCGCAGACTTCGCGAAAAATTTAAGTCGCAAGACGGATTATTTTTTAATTAGAATTTCTTACCTAACATCTGCAATGATAGAAATCATCTCAAGTCCAAGATCGACACAAGCTTCAGCAGGGTTTGACGCCTTTTCAGGAGGAAGTCCTGATACGCAATAATAACAGTCGCCCAAGAACTTTATCCGTGTAACTTTTAGGTTCTAAAATATTGCAGAAATTAATTTTGTAACATCGAAATATTTTATTTCTCTTTTTATTAACAAATCCAAATTACTTACCAAAGAAGCATCATCAAATAACCCAAACAAATCGTTCAACGTTTCTAATAAATCAGTAATCTTCAGTTTGCTAGTCATTTCCGTATAGTTCACTATATCGGCGAATAATATCGAAACATTCTCATGTTCGTCGAGGAGGAAGTTGCTAAAAAAAGAAGACAACATAGGGGCCTTAGTAGGTAGTAATTACATGCAGAAACATCTGTGAAATCAACTGTCTAATAAAAAAGACCACGAAACGCTCTAAAGAATCCAGTCCCACCATATATCTGAAAAGGTCACGTTGGACAAGGACAAATAATGTTTTACTCCTCTCAGATCTATTCTAATCTACTATATAGGAGGAAACGCTTTCCCCTCCCACAATTTATTACGTTTTAGTATTTAAAGTGTATCAATAAACTTACCTAAAAGGGTTTTCTCTCAAATAAGTTCCATGCTCTATAAAAGACTTCGTAGTATTGATGTATCTTTCCTTAACTTTTTTTATTACATAATCCGGTATAATGCTCTGCATGAGTTGATCCTTTATAAAGAGGAAAATGTAATCTTAGTCGAAAAATATAAACAAAAGGTCTTGGCTATTTATAAAAACGTTCATGTATTCATACCTTTTTACGTTTGGTTAATAATGTAAATCAATTATCTACGTTATTTTGTTTATTTAAATATCATTTTATGTAATTGTGGTTCTACCGAGAGTTGAAAATTTTGTTTAATATACGTTTAATAATAACGTTAGTTTAACTTACATAAAAGTCGTAATAGAAACGTTATTGTATCGGAAAACTTGAACGTTTAGTTTATATTTTTAACTAAAAATAAACGTTATTTTAACCCTTAACTGGTCCGGTACTCTGCAAGTAACGTAACTGGTCCGACGTAGTCTGTGAGAGTACTTAATTTCGGAGAGCAAAAAAAATAAAATAGACAAAATAAAATGTTTTATTTAACATAAATGTTAAAAACATTACTTAATATTAATATTATGTAAAAATAAACATATTTATAGCTAAATAAAAAAAATGAAACCAAAAACTAAAACCCGCACAGAAATTTTGAAAAAGTACAATACATATTTTTAAACGAAAGGCATAAAATACAAAAAAAAAATTCTTTCATATTGCAATATTAAATTGTCAAAGTGTTAGATAAACAAAAACTTGCATAAAATACAAATCTAAAAATACAGTTGATTTCCAGCATGAACCAAAGTTCAGTATTTTTAAATGCAACTCTTACATAATGATTTTGTATACTTTAGAAAAACGGGCTTTTTGCAACGCAGGCACAGGTATTTGGTCATTCTGCGCTTTTTACTAGGACATAAGCGATCACACCAACGCACTATGGTACAGGAGATCCTAAATGTGCCCAAAATTAACAAATATTGAAAATCAAAATTTGACAACATTAGCAGCATAATTCATTTGACAAATCATCAGCTCATGTTATTCCATAAAAATTTCACCTAAATATCTAGTAGGCTGCGCGTCAAGACAAGCGAAAGTTGAAGTGTGTCATTTTTGTTTATTCTAACAGTTTGTAGGTGAAGTTTGTAAATGTGCAATATCAAAACGATTATTTTTTTGATGAATTTTGATAATGGCCAATATTGATCATCAAGGTAATATTAATTTGTTATGTAAAATACATTGAAACATTTTGTAATTTTAAGTCGTAATTATTTAAAATCTAGTATATGATGTATTGCAATTTATTATCTAAAAATAAAAATACAAAAAGTGTCAGCAAGTGTCAGATCTAATATTGGCGTTTTTTATCTCTTTGAAATCCAGACTTATTTCCTATAAATAACAAATTGCGTATCAGCACGTAAAAAGGGTCTTTTGGCTTTAAAACTTTACCCATGACGGGTATTCTGAAAAAACTATTCGATAGAAATATTTATTTGAAAATTTTTTCTATGTTTTGAAAATTGTTTAACTAGTTATTTATATATTTTGCAATTGTCTATATAAAATAAGATAATAATAGCATTTTTAAAGTTTGTAGCACGAGTTTGAATTTTAAAATTGTTTGGGGGTAAGAATTAAATTATAATAATGTTTTTAATACTTTATCTTCTTGCAGTTTAACAAAAAACTCAAAACAGTTGAATATCTTATTGTTTTAGACGTTTTGCGACTCAAAAATAAAGGACTTTTCAATGTTTGGCTCTTCGAAAACAACCCTACCCTGAAACCCGTTGCTGTCGCCAATCTTATTTTGAGAAATTATGATGAAAATACACCAGAATATTACATTAAACATGTAGGGAATAAATCACGTTTATTTTGCGTTTATTTGAAATTAAAATGGTTCAAAGTTGACAGAAATAAATCAGCTTTTTTGAGTAAATTCAAAGGATGGCTCAAAGACTATACGATCTTTAAGAAAAGTAGAGAGGCACGCATAATTATAAATAATAATTTATTGACCCCACGATGAGCACCAGTAGGTCGCCCAAAATTGCCATTTTCCGGCAAACGTCTAAAGTCACAAAAACGAGATGCATTGAAAGGAAAGGAGAATGAACACGATTCCAGTTTAATTGTAAGTGCCGCCGTAGCTGCTGCAACAGCCAGTGGAAATAAAGACTTATCATGTGTTCTCAGGGAAACTACTAAAAATCCCACAAGAGCTCTTAAAATGATAAAAGTGTAATTTTCTACCAAGGCCAAGTATCTAATTAAATACACCCCTCAAGAAGCGTTATCATTTCTACTCGACAACAGATTTACTAAGCAGCAGTAGTAAAGTAGTAAAAATAGACATTGTGTTATATATACCCGTCCTACCAGTAAGTTTTAGAAGCTAAATCAGAATGTCAACCAGATAATATAGAAATTACTAAAAATATGGCAAAAGTGCCACTTCAGGATCTTCTGTCTCATACCACAAACAAAATTTTCATATTACAGGAAAATGTAATAACCAGAATTACCATAGGCAAACATCAAGTTTCTGTAACTTTAGTAGCAAGCTATGGTTTTGATGGCAGCTCTGAATATAAACAGAAGTTCTTGAACGAAGCCGAAGGTTCACAAGATTCCAGTATTTTTTCAACTACGCTTATACCACTAAGACTGACTACGAGTAATGGTGTTGTTATTTGGAATAACGTAACTCCTCATTTGCTAAGATTTTGTAGACGAATTAAACTTGAATATGCGAAAGAAACCAAATAACATATTATGAATGAAAAAAAATAGCTTGATGAAGGAAATTCAAAATCTTAAATCATTTGAATTCACAGTAAATGGATATCAAGGAATAGTTGATTTTCATCTCTGCCTTATATTAATAAACGGTAAAGTTTTAAGTACCCTAACTGGAACTAAATCCAATTCAGGCATGTTCAATATGTGGGGCTACTCCTGCTAAATCACCGACTTCATGTTCGATATATTTAAACCTAAAGAAAGTGCGCTTCAGTACGGTATCAGTCCATTTTATTGCTGGATTCGTTTTTTTGAATGTGTAATCTACATTTCCTATAGATCAAAACTTAAAAATGTGGCAAGTTCGGAGCGAGACAAATAAAGCTGCATTTGCCGAGCAGAAAAAATGTACAGAGGCTGGTTTGGGAAAAGCTAAGCCTACATGTCGATAAACCAAAATCTAATGGCTTTGGGTCTACTAACGACGGAAATAACGCCAGAAGACCATTTTCAAATTATGGTTTGTTTTCAGATATTACTGGGGTTTCCTGTAATTTATATAAACGCTTTTGGATAATACTGATCTCAATGGCATGTGAACTTCCATTGAATTTGAATAAATTTGAAATGTACTGCTTCGAAATCGGTCATATTTTCATAGAACTCTATCCATGGTTTCCGATGCCCGCATATATTCATAAAGTTCTTATACACAATAAACAAATAATGGATACCAGTTGGGTATTTGAGAAAAGATGCATTAGAAATAAGAAATAAATTTATAAACAAGACCGAGAATATAATGTCCGAAAAAACAGCAGAGTTAATAACCAAAGAGCATTGATACATCAGATCCTCTAATATTATCTTTGTCACTTCAGTCGCGAAGGTTAAAACTAAAAATTAAAAAATTACCGGTAAAAGGCTTTAACTTGCTTGAATCATATGCCCAACCTCAAAATCTAAAGATAACAACAGATGATTCACAATTAGATGCTTTGAATTGAGAAAGCTTTCTGGGTTTCAAATTAGATAGTTTAGAGACAGCGAATTACAAAATATTTAGTTGAATTTTCTTTGTATATTTAAGTGCTAATAAAAGTTTCTGCGTTTATCTTTTTTGTGTCTAATAATTTATTTTTAAATTATTCAGTGACCTCTGTTATAATATTTGTCAACCGCAATAAGTCTTAACTTAATTGAACTCTGCGTTTTTTCATAGTACATAGTACACATGATACTTTTAACTGATCTTAGATTTTAAAGTATCAACATCAAACATGATATTGTTTGGGCTCCTTTAAAATGTTTAAATTTTGTTCAGACAGTGTTAAGGAATCAAATTATATTGAAACAAATAAGTTAATTCAGCTTCGGAATATAAAATAATTTTGGGCAAAATAGTAGGCTTCTGTACCATAGTGCAACGCACCGTTTTGATGGTCCGGCCATATTTCTTGAAATTAGCGACAGGCAAATAAGTAGCACTAACGGTCCGGCGTCGTCTGAGAGATTACCGTTGAACTAATTTCTGCCAGAGCTTAGGAAACTGACGCCAGCTTGTCGCAAACATAGCTACCTGTCGAGATCCATAGGGAAAAGATTACATGTAGGGACCTGCCTGTGGAAGGTCCCAATAATAAGAAAGAATTGTTTATATGGCGTAGTCTGTCAGACGACGCCAGACCAGTTAAGGGTTAATATTAATTAGTTAACTATATTCTAATATTTTTTAATGTTGTTATGTAACGGAAAGTTATAAAAAAATTTTAAGTATACATATAATTTTAACGTTAGTTTAAACTGAATATAATTCGTATAGAATGGGTTGTACAATAGGCAGTTAAAATAAAATCTTAGTTTACACTGTGAACCTCGTTGTATTGGTTATTGTTGAACATAATTTTAAAAATGGCATTTGTACTTTAAATATACCCAGTTAAAAATTAAACTCCTCTTAGCTAAATTCAGTTTACAGTATTCTTCGTACAACACGCCCATAAAAAACGTTTTTGTATTAGAACCTTTTTAACGGTTGGGTTCAACTATAATTTAATACAATTTTTTAACGTTATGTATTTGTAGTTCTACCGAAAGCTAAGTATTTTGTTAAATATACGTGTAATATTATTGTTAGTTTAAATTACTTAAAAGTTGTGATAAAAATGTTATTGCATCGTTATAATTTAAACTAAATATTAACATTGTTTTGATGTTTATTATTTATCTATATGTTTATATTATTTTTAAACGTTGTTATATAACTAAAAGTTGATAATTTTGTTAAATATGCATATCAACGTTATTTCAAATTAAATACCTGCATGTCTTGCAGAAAACGTTATTGAATTCAAACCTTTTAACGTTTGATTAATAACTAGGTTGTTTCAATATTAATTATTTAAGTATATTTTAATATTGTTTTTAAACGTTTTTACGTAACTAAAAGTTGATAAGTTTGTTATATATTCGTATAATATTAACAATAGTTTAAAATAAATAAAAGTCGTATATAAAAGAGAGAAATGAAAAGTCATCAATTTAAAGGTGTTCGTGGAAACTCGTAACCACTCGAACATCTTCGGAAAGCAAAAATGAAATATTTAAATGAAATTTCTGATGCTTTTAGGTTTATGGTAGTTATGTGACTTTATACTTACCATCAAATGAGAAATAAAGAATTATTTTTTACATTACATAGAAATGAATCATAATTAAAACTGTTAAACAAGAAAATGATAAAATTTACGTTTATAATTGCCAAACAATAATATCTCAGGGTTGGTGCAATTTTAAGTTTCTTATTGACAACCCTGTTTGCAAAGAGTAAAACAATTGTTTATTTGTGTCACGTTCTGTTGAGGTTTCAGAAGTCAAGCCTGTTATTTTGCGTAACTTTCAACATATTTTAAAATATTTTGATCTTTTGCTGGGTTTCGCATCTGGGATAATCTGTATTTTTTCTGTGACTATAAAATGTTTTTATTAATTATTTTTGATAGATAATTATTTAATGTTTAACAATTCATGACAAAGCTGATTTTTTTTAAATAATTAGGGAATGACCACATTGTTTAGAATTATCAAATAAGGAAATCCCTTATTATATCCTCAATAGATTTGTATATATTTTTACTTCTTAATTCAATAATACATTTTAAATTCGAATATAGAAAGTGTTGAATTAGTAACCACCAAAATAAATAATTTAAATACTTACAACTTGCCTTTTTTCATGTTTCAACTGAAAAGTTGACATTATAAAATCACGTCGATCTAAAAAACTCCTCCTTATCACAATTTCATTCATATATCGATAGTAAATACCAAGGCCATTGATGAAAGCTGCAAATATGGCATCGGATGTTATCTACAAACAAAATTTTATTATTGCAATTAATTGGGAGCTAATAAATTGAGTAAATATTTTTAATTTTGAACTGATTATATGATTACCAAGAAAACCATTTTTGTAATAAGATGGTATGTTTAAATAGAATAGATATATATCGAATAAACATGCTAGTAAAAATGATTTTTATTTCATAAAATTAACAATAAAAAATTGCAATGTTTTCACAAAAATAAATAAGAAAATAAACAAATTCTTCCAATAAATAAGGTCGAAAGATATGTCCACAAATGGTTCCTTCCAAATGTTCATAAAAATGAAAAATAAAGCGGGCTTAACACATAACCCAGAGGAAGCCTCTTACTGTGCTTGAATTTATTCACATTCCTTAACTTAATTTTTTAGTAGATAGTACGGTATAGTTGGACCAACGGGATGATAAAATAAAAGTTACGCTATATCAGCTGTGAAAATATGACCACTGAATACTGTTCATTCTACTATTTGTGATCGATTCAAATTTGACATTACGTAAACAATGTGTATCTTATTGTGTGTTGCAAAATAAGGTAAGTTTTAAGGAAATAATAAAAATTATTGGATCTGTGTAGGTAATTCTAACCTAAAAATAAATCTCCCATCACTTCGATTGGGAACGATTTATAATTGGCCCATCTCTCCTGTTAGTTTAAGATAGTTGGTCAAGGCCGACTAGAGGGGGGGGGGGCAGCTGGGACTAATTCCCGGGGCATGGGCTCAAATGGGGGCTCTGCAGCGGTGGGGTTTGTTACTTTCAGAGTTCGACAGAAGAGGGGGAAGTTCTTAGTTGGGGACCTTTGTTTTAGAGAGATTCAATTAGAGGAGGAGAAATGTTTGCACAATTTTATTTTAGAATTTTAGTTTATTTCATCTTAGTTTATTTTTATTTTTTATATTTTGATTGCTACCGATAATACTATAGTTTTCTTTAAAATCCATTTCGCAATAATAATTTTAAAGTTTTTGTAATAAATTTTTGATTTTAGTTCTTGAGGCAGTGAATTATAAACGTTTAATCCGACGTATGAATTACTGCGTTGCGAGAGGGTTGTTCTACATTTCACTAAGATAATCTTATTGTTTGGATGAAATCTGTGTTATATTGGCGGCACATAATATTTATTTCCTTTGTATTTACAAGTTGAATTAAAGTTTGTTTATAACATAATTTTCTTATAGTTAATATTACTGTATGTGAAAAGTGCTTCAGTTAGTCCAGGATCCGTAAGTAAGGTCGACCTTCACCCATCTGTTTAATGAATAAAAGTTTTTTTTTTATTAAATAAAATATGTTTTTAAATATACCGCAAATGGGTTGCCTAAGAAAATACGGTCAGGGCCATTTTTTGCTTTCCTTTCTATGTACAGATAAGAAAAGTATAAGAATCATGATAAAAGTTACTTATGATGCCATTCTCTATTATTTTATCCCTATACATAATTTCCCTAAAATGGACCTAATTCGAGATATTTGAGGAAAACTGCAAATTTCGAATTTTGAAGACAACCCAAAAACGGATAAAGAGAAAAACACCAAATTTTAAATTTAAGCTTTAATCTATCCTGCGGTAAGCTGATTAAAGTTTAGGCATTGTCGAAGCATCTGGGGAATACTTTACAGGGTGTCGTTTTTTTTATTTTAAGAAAATAAATAGTCTGGACCGTATTTTCTTAGACAAACCTTTTGCGCTATATTTATAAAAATATTTTATTTAATAAAAAGAAACTTTTATCCATTAAGGTGAAGGTCGACCTTACTTCGGATCTTAGACTAAGTGGGAAATCGTCGATTTAATTTAAATATAAGCTTAATTAGACATTTTTGAATTAGCACTGAAGGTTGCAAAGTAGTAGTGTAAGATCCTACCCATCCAATTATTCCGTAATTTAATATGGATTGAACTAGGGCGTAGTAAAATGAAATAAGAGCACGCTCACTAAGTATTTTGAAGGTTAACTTAAACATATATAATAGTGACCTCATTCTTTTCACCAGATTATTAATATGTATATTTCATTTTAGATTTGAGTCTATGGTAGATCTATTTTTAAAGAATTTAAATTTGCTAAGACATTTTTGCAATTGTAGAATGGTAGATACACTGGTTTGTCTAAATTAATTTTTAAAAGATTTTCATCATACCAGTGTGTTATTTTTTGTAAATCTCGTTCCCATCCCATATCATGCAGCTTTGATAACAGTTTTTGATGGTTAACTGTGCCGAAAGCTTTTGCTAGATTTACGAATACACAGGCACATTTTTGTTTATCATTTAATCTATTGGAAATCCTTCTAGTCAATAATGCAATAGCATCGCTAGTAGAACAATTTTCCCTAAATCCAAATTGTGTATTACGTAATAAATTATTTTTATTGACAAATTTTGTTATTTTCCCTTTCAAAGCTTCTTCAAAAATTTTTGCTATGTTTAATATTATACTAATCGGTCTATAGTTTTCCACTCTATTTTTTCTTTTTTTTTATGTATAGGTTTAACTGAGTTGGACAGATGTCCTGCTCAAACACTAGATTAATTAAATATGCTAATGGGTGACTTATTTGATCTTCTATTTCTTTTAATAGTTTTACCGTTATTTCGTCTATTCCTGGTGATGTATTTGCTTTTAACGACGTTATAACATCCTTAATTTCTTCATGGGCTACTGGATTTATGAAAATTGTTTTATCGTTATAAGTTGGTTCATAGTCCGTAAAAGACTGGCTTTAAAACTTTACCTATGACGGGTATTCTGAAAAAACTATTCGATAGAAATATTTATTTGAAAATGTTTTCTATGTTTTGAAAATTGTTTAACTAGTTATTTATATATTTTGCAATTGTCTATATAAAATAAAATAATAATAGCATTCTTAAAGTTTGTAGCACAAGTTTGAGTTTTAAAATTGTCTGGGGGTAAAAATTAAATTATAATATTTTTAATACTTTATCTTCTTGAAGCTTAACAAAAAACTCAAAACAGTTAAATATCTTATTGTTTTAGACGTTTTGCGACTCAAAAATAAAGGACTTTTCAATGTTTGGCTCTTCGAAAACAACCCTACCCTGAAACCCGTTGTTGTCGCCAATCTTATTTTGAGAAATTATGATGAAAATACACCAGAATATTACATTAAACATGTATGGAATAAATCATATTAAAGTATATTTTCCGCCAAATTTTTACCAACTTGAATATAAATTTTTTTTAAAAATTTCGCTAATTTTGTTTTTGTCACCAGTTCCTGTTTCGATTGGTGTAGAAAAGGTCAAGAGACGTGGACGCCAGCTCAAAGAAGTTCTCAATACACCAAAAAATATCTAGGGTATTATGAATAAAAAGAGTTGAATGGTAGCCAAAATAATTCATCGGAATAACAAAATAATACTCTTGGATGAGAGCAAAAGTACCTACTTCTAACTCCTCTAATTCCGACAAGCTCATATTAGATGATGAGAGTAGTAGTAACGGCAAAGAAGAAGTCAATACAGAGTGTGTCGGTTGTAGCGAGGAGTTTATGACAAGAAAGAACGATGAATTGGCGCTGCTGCATTATTAGCAAAGGTTGGACTTTGAGAGATGTACTGGTTAGGCTAATATATGCGCTGAATATGGAACAATTGTCGCAAAAAAGTAAGTGCTCGCTTGTTGTAACTATATCAGGCCTAATTCGGGATTTTTATACTGGTCCATCTATCTCGAATCAGTGGTTTATCTAACCTTGAACAGGCCCGTCTAACCTAAGAATTTAAATTTTAGTTTTTATATAACCACTTTTTTAAAAAAGATTTTTCTAGTTTTATTAATATCGCATGATACTTTTGTTTATATTAAATGGAACCACAAACGTTTAGATCGAACGATGCAGGTAAATGTTTAAAACAGTGGTTCAACTGTTCCAGACTTACGTTATATGTAATAGTTTCTTTTTCGCTTTGGTTTTGTGTAATTTTAAAGAATTTTTAGTTGTTCAAAAGATACATATCAACATGAAAGTACTGTTTATTGATTATTTTTCAACAATTTTATATAACGTTAATAGCACGTATTGTACCTATAGGAACTTTCCATATCAGCTACATGATTATACTGAACTAATTAAAAAGATAATAAACCAAATGATAAAATTTTAAAAATTGTTGAAACAGTAATTATTTTCAATATTCATGATGATACATTAGACATTTTATTAACAGAAACATGGACGTGACATTTAGAATTACAAATAGTAAAAAACTGAGAAAGTCTCAAAAACTATTTAAACAGTAATTCTTTTAAATAATCATGATAGTACATTAGATTTTTTAATTCAGCTGTTAAGTGCCAACTGAGCGCGTCTCCGAGTGGTGGATAGCAGAACGGCCAGATTCTTCCTGGTTAGTGGTAGACATAAGTAGAGTGCCAAAGCCTAAAACCCTCAAAATCTTTTCTCGAAGGCTACCGCTTCGAATCAACTCCCCCAATCTAAGGTGTAAGGTAACGTGCCGACGCCGACAGATGAATTGTCGCAGCGGTAAATGCGGCAGCAAACACTCCCCTGAGGGAACTTGGCGACACCCTCTTATATCTAGCCTTTTCGGCGCATGCGGGGCTTTGCGTCGGTCAACCTTTCCTTCCCTAGCTACTCGTGGAAACCATATGGATACACAAAAACAAGAACTCAAAGAGGCTGGATGTCAACGCTCACCTCCTGCAAAAGAGCCTGGACAACAAAGTTCAGCTCCTGCACAGGAGGCTGGACAGCGACGCCCAGGATTTGGCTGTTCCACACTACATAGATGTTATTGTATGTGTTATATTCAATAAAATGTTGCATTCAAAAGGAACGTTATCTTTGTTATCAATTAAATTAATCCAGCACAGTGAGTAGTAACAGAATTCCAAGAACACCAGCGGAAAAGAAATACAGAAAAGAAACAGGAAGCAATTGAGAAGTTCAATAGGTGGCAACATTTAAAAGCAACGAAAAGATAGGAAAAATAGGGAAGAAAGAAGATAATTAAATTAAAATTCCTGACAACGAACGTCTGGTTGGACTGCTTTTATATTTAAAAATAGTAAGGGCTGAAAATTAATGTTATACTTTTATTTAGTTTGGATTATTTTTGTTAATTCAACCTAAAACGCTGATTGATGCTTTTAATTTAATTGCACTTACCTTTCTCCATGTTATACTATCATTCGAGTAAGTAACAAAATACAATGTCAGAAGATGTAACAAAGACACCGTCACACCGACACCAGTAGCCATCCACAAATTGTCTATAGAAAGAAACAAGTAGCATGCCAATATCAGATGAGACGAGTACGCCGCTCTAAATCTGTTACCATCGTAGAACCAATGGTAATATGGTACGAACCCGCTCACGAACAGCACTATTCCGAATGATATTAGAGAAATTTGATTCAGTTTTTTGTATTTCTCAGCTACTATGTCTACTGTGTATAATCCTAGCATGGATAGTATCACTATCGTGCTGTATAGGATGAGATCTGGAAGTACTAGGTCCAATGTATCCTGCAAGAATGGATTTTGATTAATAGTAGGTACTAAAAAAAAAGAGGAAAAATGTTTTTTAATGGTTTGGTCTGTATTATTTTATTATTTTAGTGTAACCAACGGGACCCTACTTCAAAGCCTCGGCTATCCGTCCGTCTGCCGCCGGGCTGTATGTCGTGATCTGTAATAGGTAGACAGTTAAAAATTTCACAGAATGGGTATTTCTATTGCCGCTATAACAACAAATAATAAAATTAAATTAAAAATTAAAGGGGGCTTCTCTACTAGAAACTTGTTTTTTTGCTTTTTTGCTCGATCTTAATAAAGTATTTAAAAAGTACCTACATAGTATTAAATATTGTGCCGAACCCTTCATGCACGAGTCCAACTCGCACTTGGCCGGTTTTTGTTTTTATTTTTATTTTTGTTATCTAATATATGCACTTTAAAATTTTTAGAATTGAATAACGATTTTTGTATAACTTCTTTCGTAGTAGCTTCTCTTGTAAAGAGTTCTTGAAACTATAAACTATATATTCCTGTAACAATGTTTTTAATTTATTTTTTGTTGCATGTAGTACTTTTTTTAACTAATTTTTAGTAGAGCGCCTAGGGCGTTAAAAACATGAAAACTTCGAATTGGATCTGCAGTAAATGAAACTTAAAAATTCAAAATAGAATATTTTGGTGCTAATATATATAAAATAGTTTAACAATTTAAAAAATGTTATCTTGTTATCGTGATTTAAAAAATAAATGATAATTGCAATATTTCAAATAATAGATTCAGATATTGGGGAAAAAAATTAATGACGAAAAAATAAATAAAATTATTGAAACAACTATTTTCGCTGCACTGTGAACATGCTACACTACAATATGAACCAGTTTTGACATTCACAAACAAGCAGCTCCACATACCTTCTTACAATTACAAAATAATATTTGCAATAGACTATCCGGAGCTAGTAATTAATTGATTGTATTTTGGCATAAAATAGATTTGACGTTTCAATCTTCAACTTAAGGTAATAGTGACGAAGAAGAATATAAAAGAAAAATAGATGACAATGAAATATTATTGACCAGGGTGACTGATATTTTAAACATATTAGTAACTCCCTAAAAGCAACATCCTGTAAATTCTAACTCCATAACTTACAAAGCATCTGCCAAAATAATAGCTGACATTGTAGTTCATTCAACACCACAAAAAGAAGTTTAAGCTAAGAAAATACAAACTCATTTTAGTATTAACAACAATATCACAGCTAGTACAACTTAAGAGAAGCCAATAATACCAGCGCCATTTAAAAGAGTCCATTTTTGGCCTGATAAAAAACAAAGATATTAAAAAGAGGAAAAAGGAAAAAATATCTTTAGTTATAACTTTAGAACCATGGCACGAATACAACAGAAAAAAGATGCTAGAAGAGAAACGAAAGGAAAAGAAAATTCAACAGAAAAATGCAAAGGAAAGGAAAAAGAAAGTAAAAATAAATTACAAGAAAATAGAAACTAAAGTCCAGTAAAGATGATGTAGATGAAAAATATACAGAATCAGATGATTCAACCTGGAATATGGAAGAAGATAAAGAAGGAGACCAAGAGATAGAAAAAGTGAAGCCTCTATAACACAGTAACGAACTAAAAAATGAAATATGTATTGTATACAAGATCAGTGGAGACGAAATTAGTATCATGGCTTAAAACTGTATTGACACGAACAACAAAACATTTATTGCAAATAAAAAATATGTTTTAACAGTTTCTTTTGGTCAAATTCTTGGAATACTAGAAAATCCTGAGGTGGCTTCTATTGGTTTAGATATGCATTTAAAAGTTTTGTAATAAGTGTTCATTAAAAATTTTATTAGAATTTTATATAGGTTCATAATGTCTATATAGAACATGTAAAATAAGAATATGTTTTTTAAACAATGTTTATTAATAAATTATATTTTTATTAATATTTTTCCTCTTTTAATTATTGTCATTGATACGATTTCATACAATGTATTGGAACACTTGACATGTCAGGCAGTGGTTTTTATATGTCATATATAATTAACAAAATAGAACCTAGTGCATTCAATGGCTGAATGTATGAGTGGTTACTTATTTTTTGGAATTTTTTTTTAGCGTTTTTTTAAGAAAATATTTTTATTTTAGTTAAATTATATGCTTATAATGCCATCTACTGTTAAACTTCTTACTCAAATATTATTTTTGATATTTTTTGTTTAAATAATTATAAATCAAAATCACAAAAAAAATTTGTAAACTTTGCAACTTTGCCAACAAAATTCCACTTCAAACATATAAACTTATTCACTGCAGCAAAAGTTCGAGGTCAAAACCTCCAGGCGCGCCAGTATTTGGACGTTTTGGAAAAACCGAATCTTGCTGATTTAAGAAAATTTATTTAAGTAAAACTGTATGTGCGCATAGTAATTTAGATAAACAATGTTTAAAACATACAAAATTTCTAAAATTTACAAATAAACTGCAAAATTTTATTAAAATATTATTTACAAAATAGCCATTTATTAAAGCAGTATTTTATGTAATAAGTGAATATTTGCGTGACAAGCAGAGCGAAGCCCTGTAACATGAACGAGTTTCATAAAACGGCAATTGGTAACGTGTTATATACTATATTTTTTCTAATTTTGACTAAGTTATTTAGAAAACTGTGTTTGGTAAATATTACTAATATCTAGACAACCTACTTTCTTGTATTGTTAGTTGCATAATATGATCAACTTCATTCTACTGACAAATAGAAAAATAATGTTTTTTGTCTGTTTTGAAATGTCCGAAAGCGTTTTGAACAAAACCTCTATTATTGCATTGAGGCCCAGAGTCAGCATTTCATGCATTTATTTGAAGAATTTAAAGAAAATAAACATTGTTTAAAGATAATGGCTAGGAAGACAGTAGCGATTTAAAACTCGAGGATTATAATCTAGGTAAAAGTATCTTCAAAATAAGATATTATTCGACCCCTCTTTCCATTTAAGATTTTAGGGGTCTCACCCCGCTAGAAGGTTTTCGTTTAGGGGGTAAAACTGAAAAAAATATTTCCCCCTAAAATCAAAAATCGATGTGTCCGAGCATTTTTTGTAAATGACTTAGGGTGCCCAAAATTGGCTCTCTTTCGTTTTCAAATAGCCATCTGTATAAGTTTAGTTTTTTCCCAATAATTAAATAAATTTAACGGTACCCTCAAAAATTTTAGACAACATTATCCATAAGTAAAAACATCATCAAATTTTTAATAAAACAGACTTAATTAACCTTTACAATAATTCATCCTTCCTTGCACTCATTAACCTAAAAAACACTAAACTATAAAAACGACCATTACTTGATTTTCCTACTACAGGTATCCTAAAATATGTCTCCTCTATATTCTAAAGGTCTAAGATATTATTTTATTTTTGACGCTATAGTCATCTAAATAAACTAGCTAATAATGAAAACAAACAATATCAAATCCATTATTACGAGTATTTGTGTTAATTCGTTACTACCAAATAGATATAGGTAGTTGTATTAATTTTTTGCTCTAATAATTATTAAAAGCATATTTTAATTAGAAATGTGTTTTGAATTTCTGTGAATTTCACTGTATTTTTTAGGACTCTAGCTTAGAAACATATATATATTTCAGCTCGAATGACTCTGGTAACTAGTTATAAAGATAGCCCCTACATAAACATATCGTACAGTGTAAACTAAGGTTATTTAGTTGACAATGGGCACAATACCTGTAAATCTTTGGTTCTAAACAGAAAAAAAGGGAGAAAAAAAGAGCAAATAGAAGAAGGGCAAGTTAAGTTACGCTGGCAAGATGGCAGGCAGAATGGGATGAAGAATTACTAGCTGGCCAGTGGACGAAACAACTAATATCAGAAATAAATCTTGGATCGAAAAAAAGTACTAATATTCGGGCATAGAAGATTCAACAGCTATCTACATAAAATGAAATTGGTAAATAATGAAGACTGCAGGTCCTGTGGAAACCCCGACACTCCCCAACATACTGTACTAGAATGTACAAACTGAAACACTTATCGAGATGAAGTAACAGAAGCAACACAGGAATTAATCACCGCGAACATTATCATACGACCTATGCTACAACGTGAGAAGAAATCGACAGCGATTAATAATATGGTAATAACGATCCTTAAAATTAAAGAACAACATGACAGACAACAATAAAATACGAAGATCGCCACAACATCCGCACAATCCATCGTCCCTGAAGTAATACCTGGCAAGTGGTCCCAAGAAAGATTTTGACAGAGGCTCCAGAGTCATTGAGCGGCTATGGTCTTTCTGAATATTTTTACTGCTCCCAAAAATTTTTAATGTATTAGGATGAATGTGGCGTTTTTTTTTTACTTCTTCTGTATGAAGGTAACACCCGAGAATACCGATCAAGGAGAAGCGACAGCCTTGTGTTTTCAGTGTACCGTTTTGTAACGCGCATGTGCGAAAATAAGTTGTGTATCACTCAAAATGATGTTATCTGTCAAAGTCAGTCCAAGTTGTGTTTAGTACGTGAGCAATGTTAAGTGATATTTTTTGGTGTTTGTTTTGTGTAGTAATAAGATAAAGATTTTTTACACACTTAGGTATTCTAATACAGATATAAAATGTGCCAAAAAAGGTAATAGGAAACTAAGAATTTTATCACATGTATAAATATTAAGTATAATGATTTAATCATTTTTTACATTTTATTTTTCATATGTAGGTATTGAATTTTCTGAAATATATGTTTGTCTTTTTTAAAATAAATTTAATAAACAATGAACTGCAGATTTTGTTTATTTTATTTTGAAATTATATTTAAAAAAAATATAATAAATCCGCGTGTTTTAATTAGGATTGGTCAAAGTGGGCGAAATCCTTTATTATGGCTAAATTGTAAGTTACAATTATGTATATAATATAATATATGTATGTATATAATATAAAGATGTTTTGCCAATTCCTATTTATAT